AGCAGGAACTGAGACCATGGAAAACAAATGCTAGTAAAAACAAAGTACACAAGAAAAGCTCAGTTTTCAATCACATACTTTTTTTGCGGGGCTGAGATGGCGATGTGGACTGTGAAGTGGTTCCATTAGTGCCACTCTCCTCTTCCTCTTTAGCATCTACTTTTATTTCAGGCTTTTTTTCTTCTATTTCCATTGGTTCTTGTTTCAGTTCTGTTCCCTCTGATTCTTCTTTTGTTTGTGAAGATCCTTGTAAATCCTCCTCCACCTTAAGAAAGGATGCAACACGACGTACTATTACATCTATGACCCAAATTCGAGTCACCAAAATATTAGTTTGAGATTGTCAAAACACTCTCCATCCATGGCTTTCCTCAGGACAGTTACTTTCCAGTAACTACCCTCCTCTCGCCCCTTAGCTCACCAATTCCGACACATCATTAAGTGCTTTTATATCTCTCACTGCTTTCAGTTAAGCTGTATAGAATCTCATTTACCTCAGTCTTAGCTTCCACTTGTGTCTCACTAGTCTCTGGCTCAGTTTCTTCAGTTTTAACTTCTGATTTGCTTTCTAGCATTGGTGCATCTGGTCCTAGTTGCTGGGAATTCGTATCAGCACTAGCAACTGAGGCAGGGGTGGGGACCCTGTTATCAATACTAGCTGCTGCCTGGGATAGCTGTTGTAAAAACAGTACAAAAGAAAGACACTGCATATATAGAAATACTTTCCTTTACTAAAAATGAACAGCACAAAAGAGACATGAGATGATATTCTGAAACAGTGCAGAACATGGATACAGGAGCTCACTGTAGCCAAGGTTCGATATAACACATTAAATAACTCTGCTTTACAGACGAGAAGCCAAGGAAGAATTCTGTTCCGAAGAGGCTTCTTTTACAGAGAAAACACCTGCCCAGTAAAACACTGTACATTCCTTGACATGTGCATTCATCCTGACTAAAGCTTAAAAGAAAAAACTTATGCAAGTTTCATGATCAAAGAAGACAATTCTGACGAAGGCCAAACACAGTATTAGGCCTGTTATGCCTCATCTTTCTGCACACTGCTGCCGTTTTTACTCTCAGCAGTTCGAAGTCATTCAGTAGCCCCCCTCCTTCAAACAATGTTGAGAACATCTGAACAAACATTTTTACACGTAACGAACCCTCTGGTCTAAAGCAGAAGCTACCATTGACAACTACAGGCTCTACACATTCATGACATGGTGCTGTACATAGGGAGAACTCTTGTGGAATGTCACTACACAAGAAAAATGCAACTAGCTGGTACTTACTGGAGTGCCAGGTGGCTGTGCCTGCACAGATGTTGGCTGTTGCTGAGATGGCTGCGGGGTTGGCACAGACTGGGGTTGAACCGGGGTCTGTGGTTGCGGTGTGACTTGCGCCTGTGCCGCAGTCTGCCCCGTCGGCGTGCTTTGTGTCTGTGTCGCGTTTGGAACAGAACCCGGTGTCGGCGTTGGTGTTTGTCCTGATGATGAGACCGGCGTCGATGGCTGCGTGGGTGCTGCTGGCTGAGGAGGAGTCATTCCAGTTGGCGTTTGGTGCTGAATAGGCGGCATGCCAGCAGCAGTGGACACCGGAGGTGTAGTCTGATGTAGAGGTGGCTGGGTCACTGGTGGACATGGTAACTGCCCACTCTGCGGTCCAAGCATGTTCATGGAGTTAGGAAGAGCAGCACTGGGAACCTGCCCCTGCTAGAGAGAGAGATTCTCTTACAGACATGTGACTCCCAAAACTCTGGGAATCACACCTATCCTTTACATCACAGCACTGAAGTCTTCTTTAAAAGTACACTGCAAATGTGAACATGAGAGCAGCGATAAACAAATGCTGCTATTGCAAATAACTATGCTCTGATTTTTCTCATCATTTTCATCAGCTATTAGTCAAAGACCTAAGATGTGCCATGCACGTCTTTTTACATTAATTCTACTTGCACAGAGAGAGAATCCTCACGATCTCCGAGTAACACAGAAACCCACAGACAGACAAGACAGTCTCTAAATCATGCCATTAGCTGGGCAAAGGTCAGATGTTGCATACAAAATGGTTTTGAGTAAATCCACATTTTAGGCCAGGACTCTAGACCAATCCTGCTTTAGAAGATAGTTCAATATATTTAATGCTCACCCTATTGCACAGTGCAAGACTTAAGACTGGTTGTTGTTTGGTTGTTTTTTTTTTGTTTGATTTCATAATTCTAACTAGACTACTCTAGATGCTTATGAAAATTGTGGGCCTGCTTTTCAAGCAGCAACAATAAAGTATACTAGATGTGCACAGACTTTTAAACTACATATTTTACCAAAGATTGCATCAGATAACTAGTGATGAAAAAGAATACTCTATCCTCAGATGTAACTTTATGTTTTAGAAATCTAAATCAGTTTCCTGCAGATGAGGTTTCAAATTTAAAACATGGTTCTGTACTGCTTGCATATAGTCAGTTTTAACGAAATAAGTGCATTAGGAAAAAAATGTTCACCAGAAAGGTGGTCAAACAACTGAGCCAGGGCCCAAGAAATTGCAGATGCTCCATTCTGAATGTATTCCAAACCTGACTCAACAGATCCCTTCGCAGCCTGACCCAAGTTACCTCTCATTTGAGGATAGGGCTGGACTGGAGAACTTTGGAGGTCCCAACTAACCTAAATTACTTGGACTCCAAGTCAAAAAGCAAGCCTCTCCCTGTCAAAAAGCAAACACTTTGGATCATAAGCACAGCTTCCACTTCACTGACTGCTACTGTAATAGAAAAATGTTACAGAAAAAACCCTCAAATGTCTCTTCAGATGTAGAGATTTTAAACAAACTTTAAAGATCTTCCCCAACCACTTCATTGTAATTCTTGATTTAAAGTTAGCTACTAAGGTCCACACAAAGACACAAAAGCATATGCTCATGAACTTCCCATATGCCAGCTTCTGATATTCCCCCTAAAAATCTCATCAGCATGCATTTCTTTAGAATTTAGATCAGGAATTACAAGCATTGCCTCCCAGTTAGCATATGTAGAGAGGTTACATCTGCTTATGAAGGCAGCAGATGTATCTCAGGATCCACCAGAGTCAGGGGTGACGACAATAAACAATGGATATAAATATATAAAATAGTCAAACATATATAAATTAGATACATTCAAACAAAATAATTAATAGTAAACAACTCAAAAATTAGAAAATATATCTTACCTGTGCCACCCCGGCCTGAGCTGTTGACTGACCCATGCCCACGTTGTTCACATTCATAGCCCCAGTAGATGCTGGGAACTGATTCTGGGGCAGGAACTGGTTCTGGGTAGGAGCCTGCCCCATCATGTTGTTGGCATGAGCTCCCATCATGTTCTGCGGCTGAGGCATTCGGGAAGGAGACATTGCCATCTAAAAATTAACACCCAAATTAAAGACATTACAATTTAGTATTATGCAGCAAGAGAAAGGAAAATACCTTCAGTGTAATTGACCAAGAAATAGGACAAAAAAATAAAAGGAAAACTGGCTTCAGTAAACCACATGGACATGAGCATACACATAACTTCAGCATTTGTTCCACAGTATTCATGAGTTTTCAAACAGGTAACATTCAAAACTCTACTAAGAGTGTTAAAACTCCATTTTGTTCTCTGAGGTAATGGTGATCATCCAGTGAAGCTGAAAATATTTTTGTTTTTCTAAAGAATAAAAGCATATTTTCATGGAAGAATAAAGAAGGTAGATAATACTGCAAAGATCGGTTTCTGAAAGAACTATATTCTTCCACAGACTGTTGGAGATTATTGCACCTCTGGCATCTACCTCCCTTTATTTTTTTAATATTGAAAACAAACACCTCAATGAAAGCCTGACAGACTCTGTACGTTTCCATGAAATTATCCTACAATTTACAGTACTACACTATGACATGGCCTTTTCAGAACAGCGTTAGCACTACTAAATGTAATCAACCCATTTTGAGAAGAACTCGGTAACAAGAAGTACGAACCGCAGGAACGGCGCCCATGTTGTTCATTTGCACAGGATGGTTCATTGGAGAAGCTGCACGGGGTCCCATGGGCGCTTGTGGCATCTGTACATTCCCTATGGACATGGGGTTAAACTGATTCATTCCTGCAAATGCACCCCCAAAACAACTCATTAGGAACAAGTCATCAGAGTTTACGTATGTATACTCTACTATAAAATTCACATTTATTACGACTAAAGTTTGCCTGCCCTGCACTTCATCTTTTATTTTTTATGTTGTTCAAATTACTTGGCGTCAGAGGCAAATCAGGATGTAAGAAGTATTCAGAAGCTTTTGGTGTTTAAAAAAAATAAATGCAAAAGATGAAAGTGTGGATGATCTACAAAGACAGGATGCTATCTGTAAATAATACCTTGGGATGGTTTCTTAAAATCAGGCATTTGCTTTGAAACAGCAATGTCCTATTCAGGCCTCACTGAAACAGTTGAAGTAAATACAATATGCATTTTTATTGTATTTATGAAGGCAACTCCTAGTCTCAAATCAGGACAAAAGCTACCTTAAACCGACGTTCTGCTTTTTATACAGAACATTTAACCCCTCCAAAAAAACCTGAAACTTGTTTAACAGGAATAAAGGTGTAAATAAAGAATTATGGAGCTATACTTGCTATCAACTTTTTCTCCTATTGAAATTAATTTTAAAAGCATGTAACTTCTCAAGGACATTTCAACACAAGTTTCAACTTACTACCAACTATGAACCAAGAAATAAAGAACTTTACAGGGACACTTTTTTGGAGGAAGCTGAAGCACCTAAAAGTCACGTGTTTGTATTTTTCAGAAAAAAACCACCCATGAGGCCAGAGCAGCCTAAATCAGTGACGGCAAGCCACCAGTGTCATGAACAAGCTACACTGCTTTTTCAGATGCACTTTCCATCAGAAACCAAGAAGAGGAAGCATTAGCAATACAGATTCTAGGATTAATGTTGCCAGCTACAGGTGTATTTTTGGCTAATCAACTGAGGAAAACATGCCAATATCCTCCTCCCCCTCTGTCGTTACAGTGTTTTTAATGAGATTAACCACAGGATTCTTGCTTGCGCTCTCCTCTTTTTGAAAGGACTGAATTACTTCCCAACGCTAGAAAAGTATGGGGCACATATTGCCAGTTCTTAAGACAAGTCTGCATTGAGACAGTTCCTGTCACAGTGCAACAACAAAGAATAACATTGAAAAAAGGGAGACTGAGTAGTTCCCCCCACCCGACCTCTAAAAGAAAAACAGAAGATCAACTTTTGCCCCCTAACAATTATTTTGAACCCACAAATTGCAATTAGAGAGGAAAACATAGATACCTTGAGAAACCTGCATACGACTTATAGGCACAGTTGGCATGGACATAGGCCCATCTGCAACACAACAGAAGAAGGGTCAGCAAAAAATAATTAAATATGAACTTGAGATTAGCACAAGAGCCCAAGAGCAAACAAGAGCAAAACAAGAGCCACAAGAGCAAACTGTGCAGAGTGAAGGCTGAAATGCAGAAGCAGCTCCTACAGAGGTACTTACTGGGCGGCCTCACGGGCTGTGCCTGGCCCATGGCAGCAGCCACCTGTGGGATACCAGGGGGCTGAGGCCCTGGGGTCTGTAAGGCTGGCTGATTCCCCAGCATCCCTTGTTTATGTAGACGAGACCTCCGTTTCTCTTCTAGCTCCTTTTGTATCTTATAGATTTTCTCTGCTAATAAATGATAGTATTCATCCTAAAAAAAAAAAAAAAGTACTCAGTGTCAAGTGTAAGAAACCAGAACAAAAGCTCAAATAGTCTACCAGAACGCTGTTACAGGTTTGGTTGGTTTTTTTAATGCATACACTTGCCTATTTAAACAAAAAATACTTCTTTTCAGAATTCAGTTAAACTGAGTCACTCTCATCACTTCTTTAGCACAGAGAAGGAAAAACAAAGCTTCCAGTAAACACATAGGAGACTTAGCTTTATGGCTATCCATCATATCTACTCTGAGTAGATCAGTAGACAAAGGAGAAGACTGTAGGTTCCATATTGCTTGGACCAAAAAACAACAGGAAGCTGTGATTTCGTTTGTAAGCGGTAATGAACTTTAAATGTTATTTTCGTAACACGCATTTCCACTAATCCACAGATGAGAGAAAAAGAAGTCCCCAGCAACACATTTACACTGAATAAACTTCATGACACAGACAATAAGAAGAAATCAATTTTTACCTAAAGAAAGGAACTGTTCTTTTCCTAAGGAGTCTGACTACCAACAGACCTTGCAGAGAATAAAAACAAATAAAACCCCAAAGGAATGGAGGAAATCAGTGAAAAATAGTCCATGGGCACAGAGAACTAAACACTACATCTGTACAAGATGAAAATTCCATTTTACTCAAACTACATTGAAAACAGATCAAATCAGACAGTCAGATCACACCACAAGGTAGAAAGTTTTGCTTGTCAGCAATTGCTGGAGACGTAGCTGCCTAATGCATGAGATTACACATTGTTAAAGGCAAAAAAAAAACCCAACAAACTCTCAAGACTACATTTATTTTGTGGGGTCACCTATGCTCTTAAAACCCAGTGTTAGATGGGACAAAGGCTGAATGATCCTTGTTCCACAATCATTTTGTCTTCATCCAATTTTAATCAAAACTAGAATTCTGATTAAGAATCAAAAGTTAAGAAAGTTAAGAAAGGATCTCAAAATTCTGATCAGTTGATATTTTGCTAGCTATCTATACTGGTGCTGCTAACACTGTCTTTACCGGATGAAAACTGGCAGGGAGTGGTTTTAGGGCAGAATTACGACTGTGTCACAACAAACAGTATCCTCAGCATGTCAATCAACAGGGGTTTGCTCCCTCTGAGTAACACAGATTTGAACTGACACCTCCTTGCAAACAGAGCAAAAATAATGAACAAGAACAGGAATTTTGTCTGGTTTCCCATGCACAAGGACAAGCACAAGTCAAGCCGAGTGCTTATTATGTTGACATGTGTAACAGCTATGTGTCTTAGCCAAATCACTCTCTGAGGAGAAATAATTCCAATGGTGTTGGTAAAAGGTAAACAGTAAAAAACAGGAGTGAGTCCTAGAGAAAACTGTTCTTGAACATATACTGTATAGCTGGACTAAAGCAACATACCCTACTGTTAGCAGATTCATACATATCTCCTTCCACTTTCCTGGCATAAGCCACCAAGTTCTCCATGCGGCGATCCTTCAGTGCTGCTGGATCAGGAGTGGGGAAGATGGCTTGGACTCTACAAGAAAGGAGAAAGAATAAAAGAATATTCAGAGAAAAGCAATATAATTCAATACAGCTTTATAATATTAAACCTGGATGTTTTTTCATACATCAGAGGTGTAAAGGCATTTCAAAATTGTTTAAAAGAAAATCAATATTGCACTACTCCCTACAAGATTAAAGCAAATTCAATGATGAAAAAAATGTGAGGTTTGACAGTCTAGAGTCTAAACACTTATTTACTACAGCAGAGCAAACTTACCAGCAATATAAGCTAGTTTCATGCCCATTCCATAACGGGCACAAGGAACGAACTGAAGAGGAGGGTTAAAGGTAACAGCTTATCCTCAGTGCCAGAGAACCACTAGTGGTAACTTTCTCATCAACAACTTTTCAGCTTAACAGAAGAACTACAGTACTGACATTCTTTGAAAACATTCAGGAAAAACAGGCAGCCTTGGTGAATACTTACAGTTTATGCACTAAATGATTGCGCAGGTCCTGAGTGACATGTTCATGCCATGCTTTCCTTACCCCGGTACTAGAAGGAGGAGCAGCCGTTGGCATTGAGCTGAGGTTTCCAACATTGCCAGAATTTGTGCCATCATTCATGAGTGGGCTAAAATAAAAGGGACTGTTACAGTACAGAATGCAAAGTTTTATTGTATGTTTGATGTCTAAAGGATTTTTTTAAGTAATTCCTTTCATAATTTCTAGTTACTGCATCAAACATTCTCTAAATTAAATTCTGGTATCAGTAAACTGGAACACTTACAGCAGAAAAGCTCAGGAGTTTGCAAGATGCAGTATGAACAATAAAGAATCACAACTTAAAAATACAAAATATTCTTCCTTTGGGAATTAATTTCAGATTACTAAATATTCTGGGGCTCTATGGGAGGACAAAGGGGTAGATATAGAATTGAAATAGAAAAGAGCATAGCTATAGATGTGACTGAATTTCCATGCCAACATAATTAATTTTGCAAGCATGCTCTTTATTTACACTCATAAGCATGTAAATAAATGTTTAATTGAGCAAGAATGAAAATGCGTGCATTACTTATTTGTCCCAAGGGATGTTGGAAGAGCAGTTTCAGAAATCAGACTAGCTTGCTGGTCTGTTGTTATTCCTCCTGCAGGAAGGTTCATCTGGTTGGCTCCTTTGGGACAAAATTAAGCATCATTGATACCCAGTTCACAATTTTGACAGTAACATGGCAATACTACACTTTACAAAAGAAACTGTATCAGAGAAGTACTTCCATGATAATTGCCCCTGTACACAGCTACTTCCAGAATCAAAAGTTACTTTCAGTCTGGATAGTATTTTCCTACAAAAACTAATTTATAAAATTTAAAAGTTAAACTCTTAAGATTAGTTCAATAAGCTAAAAAGAAGATAACTACAAATAAGTTCAAGAAAGAAATTAGCATTTGAGATAGAATTGTCTGCAACAACAGCTGAAATACTTGTTAAACCAAAATCCTTCAGCAATTCTGTCTCATCACCTTAGACAACAATAAGGTATGGCCTGTTACTTTAAAAGAAACTAAAACCACTGCTATTTGACAGAAGCAATATAGTTGAAGCTTTCTAATATTCAAATATAAATGGATGGTAGTGGTTTAAATAGTATAATTTTAATCAACATGAACAGAAAGTCACTACTCCAATCAAGGGAAATACTGGACTATCCTAAAAATTCAACAGTTCAGCTTCTTTTAACATCGTAGTTTCTGGTTGGTTTGTTTTTTCCACCTACCCAGTGCATTAATGGTCCTCATTTGCTGGTGAGCCTGAGGCTGTGCCGGCTGTTGGCCCTGCACCTGGGGCTGCAACTGTGTTTGCGGCTGGTTGCCATATGGCAGTCCAAGAGCGGCGTAGGCTCGTTGCATGGAGCTGGGGTCAATCGGATTAGGATTACTTAGCGATGGAGTATTCTGCTGGCCTGTGCCAACAGAACCAATGGAATTTTGGATGCCACCAGCTGGAGACCCTAGAAGGGCTATGAAAAAGAAAGGAAAAAAGAAAACTGAAAATCAATGAGGATAAATAATGAAACAAACCATGCCAAGAATCAACGGAACATGCATGTAGTTATACGGCATGTATTTTTCTGCCAAAGGACAAAACGACACCCAAGATACCAAGTGGGGAAACTCAGCCTTTGATTTTACAAGACAGAAACCACCCTAGCAATTAATACATGCAGTCTAAAGAGAAATGCTGTAATTTTGGGGTAGATAAGCCCATAATTACTGTAATACACATAAAGTATAGGCTCCAATATAAGGCTAGACAGGATTTTCATGCTTGGGATGGAGTAGACTAAAGGGGGAAAAAATTAATTCCTCTACTTCCTTCTTTCCCACCAATCCCATTTTAGGTCAAAATATTTGGCTCCAGAACAGAGATCCCGAGTTCAGCAGAAATACTGTGTCCTTGGACACAGAGGTAATACTGAAGATCTGTTGGCAGAAATGTTCATTCCAAGCAGCCACTAGATGAATCCTCTGAAGGCCAAATTACCCTAAAACCCAAGTTATTCAGAGATATGAAAAGCCCTCATGGGTTTCAGATTGTACTGACAAACTCTAAAATAATTTGAAGAGTTAGAAATGGGATGAGCTTGCCGCAGATTTTGGTAAAGGATTTACATAGTAATAGTAACCGATATGACCACCACAACCAACCTCTCTCACTGCACAGATGTATGGAAGAGCCATTTCCATTGTAGATAGGAAATGGAAACAATAGGGCAAAGTAGTTTTTACTGAACTCAGCAGTGAACAAAAAGCTGCTTTCTGGTCCTCATTTTAGCTGCCATTCTAAGCAGTAAGCTGTTCCACTGCAAAGGACACATGGAGTATTGTGTATTCTTCACGACAGAAACACTGCATTTTGATAACCAAGGCTCTGGCAGAAGTAGTACACACTTCACGTTTCCCCCCTCAAGTATTTAAGTATGTAATCTGCATAACAATTTTGTGAGCTAAACATAGCAACAATAATAGCTGTTAATACAGGCAACAAGAGCTGTTTTAATGAAATAGTAGGAGAGGCACATAGTTAGAAAAAAAACAAAATCGGGAAAACAAGCCTTCTGAGACATTAACAGGATTATCTAGGCTTTCTTAAATCCCTATCCACTATGGAAACTGAGAATCACTGAAAGAGATACGCACACTTTCAGCTTCCATCCAAGAGGAAACGCACACATTACAGAGTCCAGATTTTTCCCTCTCCAGATGAGAATTCAATTTGATCTAATTTGCCAAAGAACTACAGATAAATATAGTCAGAAATCCCCCTCTCCAGAATAAGCAACCCCACAGAAAACATCCTTTTTCTTTCCCAGGGATAATCCACACTATTTTCAACACCAGGTTTACCACAGAAATTAGGCTTACATACGCTTATGCTCTATGGACACATTCATAGTAACTTTTGAACTCGCTGATCTTTTCCAAGCAAGTTTAAAACCAAAGACAGTGGCTGACTGATGCCTTTACACTAGTGCAAGCCAAGAAACAGGAAGTCTCTGGAAAGAGTCAGTAGCATAAAGCTTGTGCCACCTGGAATTCAAAAGGCTTCAGAGGCTGTTGTGACAGCAAAGGATCAATACAGGAGTCAATAAAAATTCCAGCTCATTAGAAGGTGATATTTCTCCAGAAACGTTACAACAAAAAACCCCCCATACGCTTTCAGTGTTGGCTGCAAATCCGAGGTGTATCTCTGGAGATGGCAGAATGACCACAGGTGACGCTGAAGGCTGGGAACAGCAAAAAGGCTTCCAGGCATCCCACTGAGGAGAGCCAAGCGTTTCACCTTTCCTCATACTCTTCTTGGGGAAAAAAGCCGGCACTGATCTTCTGAGGACTGCAAGCTTGGTTTGAAGCTCACACTGAAGCTAAGGCAGAGCTTGGAGAAGTCAACCAGCTCTTGCTCACAGCTCTGGGCTGAGCTTTGGCCGTGGTATCGGTAACTGTGAAGCACAAGTTCAGCCCTTGTGTTAGGGCAGCTCCAGGAACCACAAGCCAGCCAATTTTATAGAAGTCTCCTTCAGCAAGATCAGATTTCCAGACCTCTACTTCCGACCAAAGACTACTTATAAAAACTCCGTTTGGGTATTTGTCAGAGCTGACAGCTTGAATGTCACTTTAAATGTGACAACATGGAGAATAAGTCTCTTCCAAACAGAAAAAACCCCCCTCGTTTCTTCATAAAACTACTTACTACCATTATGATAAGGGGACGAGGTCTGAAGACCGCTAGTTTGACTTGCACTTTGAAGAGACGAAAGAACTCCAAGAAGTTCTACGTGTCTGCATGCACCTATTCAAGTAGGCAAAACTCTAAAGCTGGTAAACAGCCAAACGTTGCTTCAACACTTCAAACTGAAGTACTGGGGGACAGACTACGGTCTTACAGTCAGCAGTACACTTACAATGTGGAAATGAGTGGCTCTGACTATTTCGTCTCAGCTTTTCTATGATTTGTAACTCAATTAATAGCATCCTGTATTAAGTATTTTCACAATATCAGGAATTTGAATGGGGTTTTTTGTGTCTATTTGTTACTTTGTTTTATATGAATGCATGACATTATGTTAATCTGTTAAACAAGAAGATGGAGGAAGAGAGTATTAAATTTCCATCCCTGATCAAAGTGGCCACAGCAAAAATTCTGCTGATAACCTTGACTCACCTCAGCACAAGCCTGTCCTGCACCCAGAATTAGGCAGGTATACAAAAGGTAAAGGTACATGACCGTTTAATTAAAGGCTGTATCATGAATCAAATCATGGGGTAAGTAAAGATTTTATGAGCAATTTAAAGGTAGGAAGTGTTGGTATTAAACTTCACCACCAATGCCATTTTAATTTTAAATTAAGTTAAGCATTAAACCAAAAGCCTTCACAGCACAGCATCATATTAGTCAATGGATGGGACTTCTTAATCTGTGGGCCAACTATTTATCTTATGGCTCAGTGGAGTAACCAACAGCTGGTAGGTCACCATTATGTATGATTTCCAGCACTTGCAAATTTGGTTGGTAGGTTTTACACAGTTACTGACAATAAGACTTAAGCAAACTGAATTTCATTTCCAGTTTTCACAAGGAATGGACTCTAATGAAGAAGCTGCGGGCAACTCTTTCTGAGCACATTTCCCTGCACAGCAATGCACTCCTTCCTTCTCTACAGAGGGTCAGTTCCCACACACTCGGCATCCATTTCGCCGTCTTTCATTTTCTGCTCATACTCAACAACCTACTCCCTCAGCCCGTTTCTGTCTCAGTCTGCTTTTAAAACCACATTTTCAGATGAAGATGAGTTGACTCAGATTTACTCTTTCACAATCCATCTTCTTTCTCACTGCATTTCCTTTAACATTTTCCTAGAAGGAAAAATACAGGGGAGTGTGCATGTTTGCAACTCCACCTTCCAGTCTCACTCAACTGAAGAGGGATGCCAAAGGTTTTCCAGTGTCCCCTGATCCTGGAATGAAGCATGAAAATGGTCCAGGTCATCCTAAACGGCAAGCACAGGACACCTGTCACCCGTACAGCTTTCCAGTGGGAGGTGTCTCTGCCCATGGCAGGGGTTGGACCAGATGATCCTTAAGGTCCCTTCCAACCCAAACCATTCTGTGATTCTGTGATATACTCAGAAGCTGTTTAGTAGCACAACACACGTCTGCCCAAGCCATGAAGAGGAGAATCGAGCAGCTCAAGCACATTTATAACGTGACAGATCTTCAGAAAAAAAGAATCATTACAATAGAGCTAAAAGGCTAGGAAATAGATCAACAGCTGTTTGCAAGCTCTTATAACTCAAATTGTGGTGGGCTCAGCAGAGAGTGAGAAGTACTTCCTAACAAAGCAAACCTCCAAACCCAAAACATTTGTACCAAATTTCAGGTCATTACTCCAAAAAACAGGAGTCACTGCCCTACTGAAAGAAAAACTCGTGTAAAATAACATTATATTTTGTGCTGCTGCCACCTACCCTCCCAGAGGCATACGTGGTATACACAGTAAGAGCCATGCAAAACAGATGGATTTTCAAACTTGTCCCAGCATGCCCTAATAACAAGTCATATTATGATCAACAATTGTAATAAAAGACAGTTCAAAAAGCTACACAAATGAGACTTGGCACAGATACTCCTTGAAATGAACCTAAACACTAAAACATGGAGCAAGACACCTGTAAAGAAACAACTCCACGGTAATAAGCTGAAGCCCAGGACTTTCTGCAGCAAGCAGAGGGAATCCCCCAAGGAGCAGCAACAGAGAGCTACAAAGAGCACAGGAACCACTGCACACAGGAAGGGTGGAAGCAAGGCAGCACATCGCAACGTCTCTGAAGTGCTCAACTGCAGAACCTTCTAAAAGACCTGACATGCTTTGAAAGAGCCACTTGAAAGCCCAGCACAGATACAACAGGACTTGAAATGACGATGGTAAAATAAGCACCGGCACAGAAAGGTAAGACACAAGGGTTTTGGTCATTCATCCTGTAAGGATGACAAGAGTAATGAGGGTCACTACACTTTCCATTTCTTTTTCCCTTTCTAAATGACCTCATCATATTCTGCCATATGTAGATCCCCTCCTCCCCCTAGTTTAGTAGATGCTACGCTATCCTAGCTTAGGTTAATTTTCACCTGACGAGGCACAGTGTTTTCAAATGCACATATTAAGGTAAATATTTCAGAAACATTTCTTAATGTCTAAAAAGGGGTATCCTTCCTAATACATCTAAAAAAGTATTTTCAGTGTTCGCCTTCTACCTTCAACCAAACCACAAGGTGCTACTTGTATGACTCAGAGCCATAATCCAGAACAAAGAACACTGCACCTCAGCATACTAAGCTACAAATCTTCATGGTTACTACCACTGAATTATTGATAAATCAAATAGAAGAAGGAGATTTCATATTTGTCTCCCCCGCATGCAAGAGAGCCAAACTCTGCACTCATCCATTATAATTCTGTTGCAACAACATCCTATTTGATCCCATAACAAAATTATTTTTAAGGATCGTTTTCTTTCCAGTGCCTTCTCTTTTATTAAGTTGCATGAATGATGCAAAAACAAATACTGCACAAAACTACTTTTCTACAGTAGCGTGTATTGAAAAAAAAAGAGTTCTGTTGTGCTACATCTCTTTAGCATGCTGATAACAACTGTGTAATAAGGATGTTATACACAAATGGACCATGTCGTATTAAGAAGCAAAGCTCTCAACACATTTTTCAAAGGCCAAACATAACTAATCACTTCCAACAAATGACTGCTTCTTGTTTACCAAGGAGAAGTTCAGTAAAACACAAACAAAACCCTTAGCTCCAAGTAGCTCTGTATTTATAAGTTTTTCAGTTCTGGAGGGAAAAAACACCCTCCTGAAACTACAAGAGCAGCATCTTCAACAGATAATTTGGACACTCTTACCAGCTACTCTCCCCTCTGCCTTAATCTCATCTAACCTAGGAGCATTTCTCTGTCCTCCAAGGTTTAGTAAATGTTCCTCACTGCAGTGTCAGCCTAAACAGAAATTAGCAGAATGCTTCCAAACAACTGAAATGCACAAGCTTCGCAAGTCCCCCAGCTATTTTCCACTTCTTAACCCTTATTTAAATATACTTAGGCATAACATCACTTAGACTTCTAGAGCTGCTGCATCTATGCTGTAAAATGCTCTACCTTGGCATCCTTTCAAAGGATTTCATGATGGGAAGCAAATCTACCAACATAAGTTCAGTATTTTCTGTTTCAGAGCAAGAAGAAAGAAATACACTAGAAACTGACGGTCCCCAAACACCAGTAACAGCTAAGTCATTACAAAAAAACCCCAAAAACCAAACCAGGCATGGGCAAACCCACAATGATTTGCAAAACTTCAACTAGTCTATTACCAGAATTAAACACACTTCATGGTTAAGGCATCCAGGCCAGATCTTTTTGTGCACAGTAATTCATGTTTATTTTAGAAACATTTTTGATTATTCTTACTCACTAGCAAGTTGCTCCTAGCAGCAAAAAAATAATGAAGCGGCTTGTAACTTTCCCCAAACTGTACTTACATCCAAAACTGTATTATAACTGGATTCTATTGACCTGCCTCACAATAAAACACTCGTTAGAAGTTGCCACACTGTTTAAAAACAGATGTGTGTTTGATCTGAGACTTTCCCTTTTCTATTATTGTGTATTTCAGTGAGAAATTGCATTCAATGATCAGAAAGGAAAACTCACTAGTATATTTAGCCTTATACATGATCATTAAACAGCTATTAAGTTTGTTGGGACACTATCATAGTTTATTTCTACACTGCACATTCGATCAACTTTATTTTAACAGCAGCATCTCATTGGGACTGCGCTACAACAACTACTTACGCTGTTGATTTCTTTTGTCACTGGCATTTTTCAAAGGAAGGCACACAGGACAGTCGTGCCGAGTACAATTCTTCCAATGGGAAATGATTTGTCTCGAAGATGCACAATGAGCAACTGTAACAAGGAAAAGCAACAGAATTAAGGTCACTACTTGGTTAACAGGTTTTGAATTAACTCATCTTATGTTTTAAAGCAACTCTATTCTTTCTCCTTTACAAGCAGTACTGTACGTGTACCTAAACACAGCTGAATGCAACTAACATTTTTTGGGACCCACCAATAATGCCGTAACAAACAAAGGAAACCAGTACTAAAATCTAAGAAACTATGTGGATGAGCCGCATGCAACCACACAGTGGATACTGCACCCTCTTTATAGAGTGGAGGAGATAAAAAAGACGCTTTTGAGGCTACCGTTGGTACTATCCTGCTTCTAAAGAGCAAATACTGCATTCTGTTTCCTAAAGTGACAACTGTGAAGACATCAGAAATGGAGACTGGGCAAAGGTAATAAAAAAGGGAGCAGTTGTTTAATTAAAGAACCAGTTTTAGCACTCATTTGTGCCAGGTACACAGATCTTCTTGACAAGAAAACAAAACAAAATACCTAATACTGACAAATACCTAAGAAACCGTACACAGCTCATTTGCAAAAGTAGCTTAAGCAACGTCTTCTCACCTTGACAGGCCTTCCCAGCTTGACAGTGTGTCATGTGGTTGAGGACGTTTTTCATGGTTCGACAGTGCGGGAGAGCGCAGGCCCGCACCTCTCCGTTCGCCTGCTCCCGCCTCTGACATTTGTGAGCGTGAAGCAGCAAAACCAACTGCTGCTGGATCAGTTTGCGCTTCTCCGGATCTGCCGTTGGTCCAGTCGCCATGGCCTGCGTCGGTACGATTCCCACTTGCTGTACTTGGGTTTGCATCTGGGACTGAGAGAACAGGTAGTTTAGCATCACATTTGCAAGTACACAATATTGCAAATTACTTGAGTATTTGCAAGTAATAACTTGAGCATCACAAGACTATTCACCAAGCATTCTGCTCTGACAAGGATTACTATGCCAGCATCTGTAGCATTCTCAAGCATTTCTATTTTAATCTTGGAATAGCAAGAACGTATTGAGAGGTTCCTCTGTTAAGACATCTCTTCAGAAGGGACAGGCAAGGAAGGAAAGGTGGTGGGGTGGCCACGTATGTTAGGGAATGCTATGAGATTATGAATGCCTAGAGATTAGTGACAATGACAACAGGATTGAGTGCCTATGGGTGAGAATCAAGGGGAAGGCCAACAAGTCAGATATCATGGTGGGAGTTTGTTATAGACCACCTAACCAGGATGAAGAAATAGATAAAATATTCCATAGGCAGCTGGAGAAGCTTCACATTCACACCCCCTTGTACTCATGGGGGACTTCAACTTCCCAGGTATCTGCTGGAAACACAACACAGCAGAGAGGGAACAGTCCCAGAGGTTCCTGGAGTGTGTGGAAGATAACTTCCTGACACAGCTGGTAAAGGAGCCAACAAGGGAAGGGGCCCTGCTGGACCAGCTGTTTGCGAACAGAGAAGGTCTTGTGGGGGATGTGATGGTTGGAGGCTGTCTTGGTCATAGTGATCATGAAATTATAGTTTTCAATCCCTGGAGAAGCAAGGAGGGGCGCTAGCAGAACTGCCACTTTGGACTTGTGGCAGGTAGACTTTGGCCTGTTTAGGGACTTGGTTGGCAGAATCTCCTGGGAGGCCGTTCTGAAAGGCAAAGGAGTCCAGGAAGGCTTGACACTCCTCAAGAAGGAACTCTTAAAGGGGCAGGAACAGGCTGTCCCCGTGAGTCAGTAAATGAGCCAGCGGGGAAGACCGGCCTGGCTGAACAGAGAGCTCTGGCTCGAGCTCAGGAAAAAGAAGAGAGTTTATGATCTATGGAAAAAGGGGCAAACTGAGGAGTACAAGCCTACCGTGAGGCTGTGCAAGGAGAAAATCAGAAGAGTCAAAGTGCAGCTGGACCTTAGCCTAGCTAGTGCTGTTGAAGACAATAAAAAGGGTTTCTATAAATACATTGGCAATAAAAAGAGAACTAAGGAGAGTCTCCCCTCTCTAGTAGTAGATGTAGGGGGAAGAATAGTAACTGGGGATGAGAAAAAGGCTGAGGTACTTAATGCCTTCTTTGCCTCAGTCTTTAGCAGGAAAACCAGTAGTACTCTGGGTACCCAGTCCCCTGAGCGGAGGGACAGGGATGGGAAGCACAGTGAACCCCCCATAACCCATGAAGAGGTGGTTAGTGACCTGCTACACCACTTAGACATACACAAGTCTATGGGGCCAGATGGGATCCACCTCAGGAATCTGAGGGAGCTGGCAGAAGCGCTCGCCAAGCCATTTTCCATCGTTTACCAGCAGTCTTGGCTGACTGGGGAGGTCCCAG